ATAGATTTAAAAAGTGACAAACCCACATAGCGTGTTAGATCACTTCACATTAGTCTTAGTGCGTGTTATTTGTTTTGTATGCAATTCACAAATAATCCATTCAGCTTAAGATGTATTCGGATCCACGAGTCAACTCGAGTCGAACCTTACAACAATAACCTAACTTGACCCGTTTAGGGGGTGATTGTTTATGGATTCAACTAGTTTTTATTTGGTTTGTTTTTAACTATAGTTAATTTTGGAAAAAAGTGGTATGGTTAGTTGTTAGTGGATATATTAAAATAATATTTAAATAAAATAATTAAAGTTGATTTGATGTAAAGTAGGAGAAAAATGATTGGAAGTGATGGTTAGTTAAAATTATGTGAGTGGATGAATAGTGAATTAAAGTTGATTTGATGTGTAAGAATGATTGGTTGATATTATTTAATTATATTGGTAATATTGAAGATAGTGGGATTGAGTTAAAGTTGAGTTAAATTTGAGTTTTGATTGGATTTTTTACTATTCAATTTATATCCAATCGCCCCCTTAATGCTTCGTCGGATATCTCAGCTAGAGCCCATATAAATTCCCCCCGCGTAAATTTGCAACATTATGGCTTCTAAATATACAAGAACATTAGTAGGCAATAAACCAAAATACTGAGTTATCCTCCATTCCTCCTCACAAAAATGAGAAATTACATAAAGACAAAGAGCTTCAAAATTACTTGAATGGAAAACTTGGGTACTCTTAAAATCCTCTTTGTGGGCTTTTGTGAACTTGAGAGATCTTGGGTTCCTCTGAAAATTTGAAAAAGAACAGGAAATGGGACACTGATATTTATTTATGGGCTTCAAATTTGGGACAAAAATGGCGGTGCTTTCACAGTGCTGCAAAGGAGCGGAAAAAATACACCGTATTAGCATTCTCCTTTTCCACCAAGCTTGTATTTGTTAGTTATGTGTGCAAAGGTTGGAACTTTATTGAATCAGGAAACATATTTTTTGGGTTATACCGATAATCAATTTTGGAAAACGTTTGTTTACTGCAATATCTCCAAGGATTTAGAAGTGGATAGGAGCGCTTAGAGGCTAGCAATCAACGTACTTAAAGGTTATGGTGAACCGTGACTTTTGCTCCAATCTCTTCCTTTTGTTTTGAGTCCCTTTTTGTGTTTTCTTACCATTGGTTCTCTTGGATTTCATCTTTAGCCTACCCAACTTGCTTGAAACTAAAAGGTTATGGTGTTGTTGTTGTTGTTGTTTGTTTACTGCAATACTAGTACGCACTTAATGTCGTGATAACATTATTAAAAATATTTTTATTATGGTTATGATGCGAGAAAGAAAAATTAAAAATAATTTTATAAAGATAAATATTGTATTAATATTAAAATTAATTTTATAAATTAAATATTCGACAACATGAACATGGTTTACTTATTTGTTTTTATGATAAGTCACATAATAAAAGAATTTTATTTAAAAGATAAAAAATTATGTTGAAAAATCTTTATTTGGGCACGTTGATAAATTTCAATTTAGTAGAAAAGTCAATGAATAGAATTGTTAAGGGGGTGATTGTTATGATTTCAACTAAAAAAAAATCAATCAAAACTCAAATTTAACTCAACCACATCAACTTTAATTCACTATTCATCCACTCACATAATTAAATAATATCAACTAATCATTCTTACACATCACATCAACTTTAATTCACTATTCATCCACTCACATATTTTTAACTAACCACCACTTCCAATCATTTTTCTCTTACTTTATATCAAATCAACTTTAATTATTTATTTAAATACTATTTTAATGTATCCAATAACAACTAACCATACCACTTTTTTATTTTCAAAATTAACTATAGTTAAAAAACAAACCAAATAAAAACTAGTTGAATCCATAAACAATCACCCCCTAAATGATGAGTATTTATTATTTGTTTTTCTAAAATTTTTAACGTCATCACATCTAAAATATGTGACGCAATTTTAAATATTTCTTTTATTAAATGATAATTAAAAATTATAATATTTAAGTTAAATAAATCAAATTTGAATATTATTTAGATTAAAATATACCTTGAAATTATTTTATTTTAATTAAATGAAGCCAACCTCATGAAAAAGAGTATATTTAGAATAGTACCAATCCGTCGAGAACTCTTGAAAATTAATATACTGTGATAATATTATATATTCATCCAAACGCTATGAAATAATACGATTAAAGAACTCGATCTAGTTTCTTTTCTTTTTCTTTTTTTTTTTCAAAAAAAATATTGTCTATTTTTTTAGAAAGAATATTTTTTATTTTGTATTTATTAGTTTTATTTTGACAATTCCTAAATTTTAACATTTATAGATTTATATAAATAACATATTCATAAAAATACGTCAATTTTAAGCATAATAAAACAAAAATTAGCATTAAATTGAGTGAAAATCGTCATTTGCTCCCATGTATAGCCTAATAAAGTTTTAAAATACATCATACAATCTTTGCATCTCATTTATCATGAATTAATTAGTAAAAGTATTATACATGTTTAAGTTACCCAATTAAATAATCATTACATGTAAAAACAATGGATCAAAACTGAAATTTGTAAAAGAATTTATAATTTATTAAAAAATAAACTAATAGGAAGAATGGTAATATATTTTTTTAACATTTCTACAAATTTTTTTCAAAAATATTCCTAATAAAAATAATATAAATTAAATTTACACATATATATATATATAGAATGTGTAAAGTAATATGAAATTTGTTTAGTACAACATAGTTAAACAAGTTTAAAAGTATCTAAAATATTATATGACTATATAAAGTTATAAACAATATATGAAAAAAGATTTTAATTTGTATAATAAGTACAATAAATATATATTAATATAACCAATTGTATAATAATATTTTTAATTAGTTTATAGTATAACTGTACCTCCATGAATATTTTTTAAGTCCTCAAGAAATGTTAAATTTTCAGAAATGCAGTAACCAAATTGAGTTTCTTTAAGGCCTCACTTGTCATATCGTTGGTGTATAATACATTGTACTTGTTTGGTATAATTTTTTGAACTAATGTTGTACTATGTGATGAAAGTTTTTAGTTTCTATTTTTGTTTTCAACTAACTAGTGCGTGGCCCGTGCGATGCACGAGAAAACAATATTACGATTGTATTATAAATTAAATATATAAATAACATTAATCATGATTTATCCATTATTTTTAAATTAAACCGGGTTGGACACAGTCCGACCGGATGGACCGAGGACCGGTTTATAACCAGTCTAGTTTGCTTGAATAATATTTGCTCTCGAATCTGTCAACACCAGTCGGTTGGACTGGTAGGATCGATACAATGGTCTAAATAAATTTTGTTATATTTAAAATTATTTTAAATAAAATAAAGATTTATAAATTATTTATCAATTAGTTTAAAAATTTGAATTTATAAATTGTTGAGATATCTAAGTAACACATTTTATTTAAATTTATTACAAAAAGTACTACACACACACACACATATATGAATATCTATTAAAATGTTTATAAATTAAAATATGAACAAACCACAAATGATTTAATAAAATAGTTTTATCGTTTCGATGATGGTCTAGTTCTGAAAACCTTATATTTACCATACATTAATAAATATTACAATAAAATATTATTTAATTTGCATAAATATTAATAAAATGGTATATAAATATTCATAAATCATTAAACATGTTGTCATAAAAGTATTGTTAATACGATTATTTGAAGTTTGGCCTACATCACATTCACGTAATAAAATATTTTCAATATAAAATTTATATTTAGGTTCAATAATCGATTTGATGTGGTCGAACTGATACATAACTTAGTCATCTAGGACCAACCAAGTTGTGTCAAGTTTTTAAACTATTTTAAAATATTACCTAAAACTAATTCAATCAACCTGAGCAATACACTAATTCAATCACTCGATTGATCCGAAGAAATTTTTTTATTTTTCTAATATATTTAATTTTATGAAATAAAAATATTTTATGATTCATATAATAAATGCCTACACCAAATGATAGTATATTAAAATTATAAATTATATAGCTAAAGATGAATTAATTATTTTTACTTTATGCATATAAATAAAAAATAAACATAGTAATTTTCAAAAAATTAAGATTAATTGATTGATTATGCAATTTAAATAATATTTTAGCGTTCAATATTTTTTTTAAAGGCACAAATATAAAGACCGAGATTCTAAATCTTTTGTTATATTTTGAATTGAGATTTTATAAATATAGAGACCGAGATTTTAATGTTGTTCGTTGTTTCTAAAAAAAATAAAAATAAAAACATACACACTTAATAAATCTTAGCCGGATTTTTTAAATAATAAAATGAACTAAAGCCCGAAATTTAAGGTAACATTTAATGTTGTACGATTTTTAAAGAAAAAAATAAGAAAAATAATAAGACTTACTATTTATAGACTGCATTAAATTCTGACCTATTTTTTTACTACTATTTTTGATAAATAGTAATTCTTATTATATATATATAGATGGTATTAAAAAACAATGACATGGTTACAACCTTACATATGCATGAAAAAATCTTTACATATGCATGAAAACTTTCAAGAGTCGGCAACAAAAACCTCCTCTAATGCAGTATTTTTCTAAAATCTTCCGTTGCAACAACAACAAAGCCGAAAAAATCATTTCAATTTCAGTTGCAGGGAAAGGAAACTTCAAAATTCATTGACATAATCGAAACAATGAAGCTTGCCTGCATGTTTCTAATTCCATCACCACTGCATTGTTCTTGACTATTACACCATTTTCACCAGCGAGTAATCTTTGCTTTGAGAAATATGGGAAAAGCAGCCAATAAAGCTCGACTATGTCACAACTTTCAGGCCTACAAGAAATATGCAAAAAGATTAAGCTAATCCTTGCAGAAAGTTAGGCTATAATGCTATATAAGGAAAACCTCAACAATCTTGGAAACTACAGAGGTAATCCCTTTATAGTTTTTCTTCATCCACCAAATCACATCTCTGTAGGGGGTGTTGAAAAAAACAATCGATGATCACTTGTAATTTTGAAGATAAACTGTTTTTTTCAATTAATTAATTCAGAGGTGACATTTGTAACTCATCACCCAATTTGTAAGATTTTTCAAGGTTACTACTTCCGGAACTGTGGTATTAGATTTCACATTCTTAAAAACTATTCATGAGGGTGTTTAGTAATCTTTAAAAACTATTAGTTCTTCTCTTAAAAGGAAATCAACAATGCAAATAATATTTAATCACTTCAAAGAAGTCCCAGAAATACATGTTTGTGTTGCTTACCCCTTTTGGAAATTTAAAATATAATTGACTTAACAAACTGCCTTCAGAATAACTGTACAGCATTAGCTTACCATTTGAAATGGATCGATTTTGCCTATTGAGGTCCGTGGTTTTATTCAAAAAGTCCACAAAACTGGATAAGATTACAGAGTCATTCTGTTCATCTCTCCTGGACAGCCATTGATCCTCAATCTGGATATCGACATCCCTGTACAATGCAATCCATGATACTGGTGACCAAAAAGTAAAAACAAATAAAAAAATTAATAAATAAATAAATAAAAGATTCTTTTCCTAAGTGATCACCACTTCAATGAAAGAACTTCATAATTCCTACGCAGAAAATCAGCATATTTCGTAAGGGCTTCTTGTGCATATTGTTTGCCGACAGTTCTCACGCTGGCAGCAGCAAGTAAATTCTCCAAACACCCGTGTTTGGACAATAACTTTACAGCCGTTTTTCGACCAAAACCAGGAACAAGATGCTGTATTCCAGGAACACCATCAATTTCATCACCCATAATGCATCCTGGCCAATTATGATAATACTCAAATGATAAACCACAAGTGGAAATAAGAAATGAAAAAATAACTGTATTAATATTCAGTCATAGAAACATTCCGCATCACGTATTGCACCTACTGAAGCGCGAAATGTGTAAAATAACTGCAAAGCTCAATGAGATACTTTTTGTTGTGTTTAAAAAGATGGTCGTATTGCAATTAGTGGAAACCTCGTGGTTTAATGTTTGTAATTATCCCCCAAAACACATTTACATCATTCGTTGATTTAGAAATATGTAGTTATTCATTTGAAATACATTATAAAGAAGTACTAACTTAAGCTGAGATCGGATTGAGGGTGGCAATTGTACTGAGCTATGTAGTGCTTCAGTGTGTAAAAGGACCATCTATTCAATTCTGATATAGGTGCAACAATTTGTACATCTTCTGATATAAGCTGCTTGAAATCTTTGTCTGGTGAAGCAATTACAGCTCGATATCCCCTCACTAAAGCTTGATGTACGAGTGTCGCAATGACATCATCAGCTTCATGACCTTCAATCTTGACAACCTGTGAATTAATGTAGTAAATTTGAGTATTTCATTGACACAATCTTGGGTCATACATATTATCTGTAATTTGGTGACCTGTTAAGTTTAAGGGGTGAAAAAAAAGGGAGTTTCTTATTTTCCATCTAACATTGGGGATTTTCTCGTAATTAAACGAACCTGGAGAATTTCGTAATAATCAGCTAGAAATTACGATCTTCAGCTAGATTGCACCCTAGCTATGAGTAAATATAGCGGCAAGAAAAAGGAAATATCCCGAGACTCGATTTCAACTGTTCTAAATTATATTACCCTAGCTATGAGTAAATATAGCGGCAAGAAAAAGGAAATATCTTGAGACTCGATTTCAACTGTTCTAAATTATATTTTCCATTAAGGAAGCGATAAAATTGATGAAGTAGCCTCTCACTCACTGGCACATTACATTTCCGGAGAACATCAACGACAAGTTTATGTGATCTTCCAAAAGAACCTCTTGAAAATCTCTCCACGCCAGGTAGTTTGTTTAGTACTTTCCTTCTATTGGCTTTATATGATGGTAGCAGTTGCCTTCTGAAGTCATTACATCTATCCCCATCAAGAACCTATATTTTCAGTCATTCATGAGAAATTACGAACATAACCAACAGTAAGAAGCATTATTATCCCTAGCTTAATAAACTCCACGTCCCCTTCTTTTCCAATATGACTGCATGAATACACAAACCCGAAAACTGAAAAACAAGAAATTCCAGATTACAGAAAACATGATTTTCACCTTCACTTAACCAAAGATAGTGATATACTTCTGCAGCAATCTTAGTGTTCCCCTTTGAAGAAAATGAAATAAAAATCCATAAAACTTATACGGAAACTTTTTTAATAATTTGAAACTTTGAAAGCCAACTACAAATGAGGATTAGTAAACTTGAAACTATGAAAAACTATATGAAGAGAGTAAATTTCTGCCGACAAAAGCTTAATTAACTGAATATCAATCTCCTAGTCAACTCCATTCACCACGAGTCCATGACATAACCAATACAATCGTTAAAAACTACAAATTCCCAATGAGGCACTCATTGTCTGTACAAGTACAGCCAATAGGCAATGCAAGTCTGCAACGATCCAGAAGCACAAAAAATAAAGACTTGGTAGATAATCAAGATACAACCTTTTCAAAACTCAAGTACTTAAAATCATATTTTCTCCTCCGTTTCAACAAAGAAAAAAAAGGAAAAAACATCATATTATTATTATCACTCACTCACACCCACCCAATGACCCAAAGGAAATATGTAAAAATGCTTACAGCTATGACGGGGTCATTTAGGCTGACATCGGAAAAGAAAAGTGAAATCCAATGAGCAAAAGAGTGCAAACTCCGTGTGCTCCCTTTGTAACACAACGGATTCACATCCAAGAAAAACACCCTCTTGCTTTTCGATGTCTGATTACAGCAATTACTACTACTTTCGACACTCAAAGGTTCGTTTTTCGACAGTGGAGGCAATGGGTTTTCGTCAGACAGAGGCGATTGATCACGGTACGTTGCTGAAAAGAGGCGTTTGAAGGGCTTCGAAGATTTTTGCTTTAGGGTTCTTGAATTTGAAAGCGAGCTGAACAGAGGCTGACGACAAGCTTTTGAGGGCTTCTGATAAAGGCGAGAGCTTTGAAAATGTGGGTTTTTAGTAATTTGCACATGCGACGTCATTGAAATGGAGATGGCTGCTTCCAGTAGCTCCGCCATGCTCCAAATTCACCGTTGAGTCTCTTTATCCTTATGTAATTTGTGTTTGCAAAATGACTATTATTCTCCTTTTTACATTTTCGTCCACTAATTTTAGGTATTTCCAATGAGATCTTCCAACTTGGTAGTGAGTGACTAGTGACTCTGGTTCCTTTTTAGATTTGAAGATTTTGTTTGCAAAATCTAGCTCGCAAATAGTTTATAAATAAATTTAGATTATAGTTGATAGTTTATGATTGAAAAATTAAGGGATATAATAAAAGTGTTTGGTGATCAATTAGCTGAAACAAACATTTCAATAGGTTTTCGTTGCATCACCGGTCCAATCTCGGTTCCGATATACTTTGCACATAAAAAAGCTCTGTTCGAGTTCAGAGTTCGACAATAGCTTGTTCATTTATTAATCAAGCATAACTCGAACAAAAAAATCAAATCGTTTAATAGTAGAACAAACTCGAGCTCATTCAATAATGTTCAGGAACATTAATTTGTTACAATTTTATTTTATTTTGAAAAATGCTACATTACCAACCCAGTGTACAATTAAGTTGACAACACAAGTGAAAATATCCACTTATGTATTTTTTTTTATTTTTATTGAATGTTTTCACTTGTATTGTCAATCTAATTATATACTAAGTTGGTTATGTAGCATTATTCTTTTATTTTATATATACATGTATGATATATTTAACAAGAAAATCTAAAATATGAAAATACTTTTATTTCATATTTATTTTATTTTGTATTTTCAAACTTTAATCAACAAATATTGAGTTAATCAAACAATTTAATAAATTTGTCTACTAAATTATTCATACTCAAACTCTTTATTACAATTATACAAATGAGTTTGAACATAATTTTTTATTCGAAAAATAGATATACGAATGTTCAAAATTAAAGTTCGAACATAATTCAACACGAACTCGAAATTGGATTGTACACTACACTCGCCACCCCACCTCTCGCCAGTCGTCTCGTGACAAAACAGGTAAAAGTTCGTTGAAAGCCTTTTTCGATGAATTCGAGAAATCCATTCTCGTTTTCCCCTTAATCAACACTCCTCTGATAACCGATCACCACATTTTCTCCCTACTCAATACAATCAATTCAGTTCAATTATCTCTCACCAGCTCACACAAAATTATGGCGCATTGCAAACTTCTCCAAACCCCCTTTGTCCCCGCCGCTTCCCCGTCCTTCCACCGCCGCTCCCCCGGCGGCGCGGCCCCACCTCGGCGCGCTGCCCGCCTCCTCGTCCAGGCCAAGATCCGGGAGATCTTTATGCCGGCGCTCAGCTCCACCATGACGGAGGGCAAGATCGTCAGCTGGGTCAAATCAGAGGGCGACAAGCTCGCCAAGGGCGAGTCCGTCGTGGTGGTTGAGTCCGACAAGGCGGACATGGACGTGGAGTCCTTCTACGACGGGTATCTCGCCGCCATTATCGTAGACGAGGGCCTTTCCGCCGCCGTCGGGTCCACCATTGCCCTGCTCGCTGAGACCGAGGAGGAAATCGCGCTGGCCAGATCTCAGAAAACGTCGCCCGGTTCTGTGTCTCCCGGTGGGAATAGCGATGCCCCTAAGGTACTCGACGAAATTCCCAGCCCAGTTTCCGCTCCTTCTCCCCCTGTGAAAGCCAGCATTAGCAACATTGCTGTTGGGTCTGCCGTGCATCCGGCCTCCGAGGGAGGAAAGAGGGTGGTGGCCTCGCCTTACGCGAAGAAACTGGCCAAGGAATTGGGGGTAGATTTGAAGGGGGTGATCGGGAGTGGGCCCAATGGGAGGGTGGTGGCTAAAGATGTGGAGGCTGCTCTGACGGCTGCAAAAACTAGCGCTGGTAGTGGGGCTACAATGGTGGCTCCTGAGGAAGCTAAGCCGAGTGGTGTGGAGTTGGGTTCGGTGGTGCCTTTCACGACAATGCAGAGTGCGGTGAGTAGGAATATGCTGGAGAGCTTGAGTGTGCCGACTTTCAGGGTCGGGTATACTATTACTACGGATGCTCTTGATGCTTTGTACAAGAAGGTATACTTTTTAATTTGGCGATTTTGTTTGTTCTCTTTCTTTCTTTATTTCTTTTCTTATGTGATTTTTTCCATTTCTTGCGTGTATTGGTTGAACGATTACGGGGTTGTGGAGGTTTGATTTGTTTTTGCATAAAGATTGGAACTTTTTTGTCTAGAGTAAAAGATTTAAGATTGAACAAGTGGGATAGGTCTCTGGAAAATTGGTTCTCTGAATCTTTGGTTATATATTTCAAAATTTGTATGATATGTGTTCAGTCTGTTATATTAATGTTCCACTGAATGATTGTGGATGGACCTTTCAATAGCAGCTAAAAATATGGAAGTATGAGGTTTCATAAATGAAATAAACAGCATGATATTTCTGTAACTTTTATTGAAGGTTTATATGAAATTAATTGAAGAGATGATTGAGGAGAAATATGTCACGCTCTTGAAAATCCCCAAAAAAGTTAGGTTTTGTATTGAAGAGTTGAATCGCTGATACTTTTTTCAATGGAATTGCTTCTAGAAAGTTTATCTGTTTCATATATTATATTGGTATTCTTTAGAAAGTTGTGATTTCGGCAACTACTTATACAGATCAAGTCTAAAGGAGTGACCATGACGGCTTTATTAGCCAAGGCAACAGCCCTTGCTTTGGTCAAGCATCCAGTTGTGAACTCTAGCTGCAGAGATGGCAAGAGCTTTACGTATAACAGCAATATCAACATTGCAGTTGCTGTAGCCATTGATGGTGGTTTGATTACGCCAGTTCTTCAAGATGCTGACAAGGTTGACCGTTCATCGACATTTCCCAGTTTCCTTAAATGTTCTATTTTTTTTTTTTTTTTTTAATTTATTTGTCCGGCCCTCATCTGTTGGCTTGTAACCGTACTTTGTTTCTCATTTTCTATTAGATTGACATATACTCGTTATCGAGAAAGTGGAAGGAGTTGGTCGATAAGGCACGAGCAAAGCAGCTCCAACCTAATGAGTACACTACGGGTAATTCGGTTGTTGAATGGTTCAGACCTGCTTGGATTATAATTTATACAAGTTGCTTCTACTATAGTTACAATAAATCACCATTTTTACTCAAGAAAGGATGTCGGAGAAAATAAGCAAATCCTTCCACGCCCTTTAATTACACCTTTCTGATTACGTGATTATTTCATTGCTTTATAGGCACTTTTACTCTGTCTAACCTTGGAATGTTTGGGGTGGATCGTTTTGATGCCATCTTGCCACCAGGAACTGTAAGTATAGTAACTTGTATTCAGAAGGCATTTTTGTCAAAATGTGTCATTGACTCATTGTGTGGCCTGAAAAAGAGGAATTTATGCAATTTTATTTTATTTATTGTGTTGGACCATATGTGGCATTACCATAGGGTGCAATTATGGCTGTTGGTGCTTCTCAACCCACTCTCGTCGGTACTAAGGATGGCCGCATTGGTTTGAAAACTCAAATGCAGGTACGCTCACATGGCTAATAACTAGCTCCACATTATGTATAAGTCAAATACAAATTAGTCCCTAGACTTGGGCCTTATTAAAAAAAAGATCCCTTTCATAATTGCAAATATGAAATATCATCAGGATATTCTCTATCACAAGGGTGTATTCGAAATTCCTTAGGATAATTGAAATTTACATGTGCAAATGGAAATAATATTATTAGCAATAGCAATATTAGTCAGTAATAATAACAAGAAAAAAAAAAAAGGTTGATCGAATCTTCATGCTGCCTTTTTGTATTGCCAGGTTAATGTTACTGCAGATCATCGCGTGATATATGGTGCTGATCTGGCAGCATTCTTGCAAACCTTGTCTAAAATAATTGAGGATCCTAAAGATTTGACTCTTTAGATTTGTCATTTAATCTCCCAAAATGACTTGTAGAAGAGTCAAGTAGCCAATGATCTTGGACTGCACAATCATCGACTCCCTATATGTTTGAGAAAATATTATCTAGCTGGTCTTGTGCGATTTTGTCAGGTGGCATTTATTTTTTCAGATTAAAAATTCTCGCATCTAGGTGAATTCTCTAGCTCTCTTGGTTTCGAAGTTGCTTCTGTATTCGTTTTACCAGTCAGATTTCTGTTTTGATCTTTGAGACCGTTCGTTCTATTACGATTTCGTTCTTCTTGATGGGTAATTTTGATCCAGTGAACAACATGTATTGATGAAGTAATTTTATGAGATGGTGCTTGATGGAGTCTATAAGCTTTTCATGATATTTTCTAAGTTGTTTAAAATTTGTTCTGAATATTGGATTTCATTTCACTGGTTTTACTTAATCAAACTTAAGAGTCATATATCAAGCGGGGGTATTCGTAACTGTTATCTGTAATGCTGGGGATAAGAGACATAGGGCTAAAGAGAGAGCCAAAAAAGATCTTTCATGTAATTTTTGGATTGATTCATATATAAGTAAGATAGTTTATAATTATATTTTTTTATTTTATTAAGGACCAAATTTATAAAATTATATGCATATTACATAAATTTAATATCTGTGTATGTAGACAGACTTAGATAATTAGTTTGGTAACATTGTTGCTACAAAAGAATCTAAAGCTAACTACAAACTTTAATGTGGAAATTAATGGAAAAATGAAAGGTTGCTACTAAAGAAGAAAGTAAAACAAAAACTTACACATGTGGAAATGTGAAAACAAAAGATCGTGAGAAAAGAACATTAAACAACAGAAAAAAATAAAAAAACACTAAATAACAAAGTAAACACAAATTAGATTTTGTTGTATTAGGAATTTTAATTTAAGAGGGTTCATTTCAATGATTGGTTACTGTTGTGCAATCGCCAGTTTTTTTAGCTTTGATCAACACACACCAGTTGATACGTGTATATTGATCCAACGATAAAAAATTCGGTGATACGTGTATATTGATCCAACGATAAAAAATTCGGTCACTGTAATAAAAAAATAAGAAGAAAAGATAATACAATGCAGACACCTAATTATACTAAAATATTCACACATCTATGTTAAAAATGGATTCATAAAGTAAAGAAAATCTAACTTGACTTGAGGTAAAAATATGTGAACATCCTTTTCTTTTTTCTTTTAATCTTTTGGTAAAACCAAACTTAACTCTTCTGATAAAACACCAGAAGACCATAGAGAAAAGTCTGCAGAAGAATCATGGCCAATGTCTTTGGGTTAGACTTTGTTAAAAAGCTAAAGTTATTTCAAACCGATGTCATAATTATACATTTCCTCTTTCACTATCAAATGAAAAATATCATAATCATATTTTGCTGTTTTATATACAAGTTCTAACTTTTTTTTTTTTTCTGTAATTTGTAATCTCATTGAATTTTACGACTAAATACCGATGAACAACAACCATTTGTAGCCACCAAGCTTCATTAAGATTAAAGTGGCATCCTTAAATGAGATCCTATTATATATAACCAATGAGCTTGAAACTAAGTTCATCAAATAAACAAGCTTTTGTCTGCACTTATGTTATGGCCTCTCAATCTTGTCCTGAGATTTTCATGGCTATTGTGTTTATAACAACCGTGCTTTCGCTTGCGGCATCCCGACAAAATACAGTCGAAGACAGCTGCAAATTCACATCGACGAAAGATTTATGCGACACGGCATTATTTCCCGATTCGTGTCACAATAGCCTCACTAACTTACCTACTCGAAATCTCCTTCGCACGATCTTCGAGCGATCGGCCCATAAGGCGCTAACCGCAGTTTCGAAAGCTTCGTCCCATTTTTCCACACGTGGAGCGATAAGAAAACTCGTCGCGGATAGAATGCGTGTAGACGAAAAGCTATCGATTTCTGCGCTCAAAAGCTGCGCGACTCTTCTTTCGCTCGCGATCGAAAACATCAACGACTCGCTCTCGACGAGCAAACGAGCATCGTTTTTTTCATCTCGTGGGGCCCGCGTGGACGTAATGACTTGGATGAGTGCCGCGGGAACCGACCTCCGGACATGCATGGACGAATTCCAAGGATTTAGTCACGACGTGAAAAAGTTCGCACGCGAAGAATTGGATAAATCGACCGAATATATTAGCAATAGTCTAGCCATCGTGACTAGACTCGATTCGTGTCTAGGTTCGACGAAAGTCGTCAATTGGGTCGACGAGACGAAAAATCTTCTCGATGCGAACACGACCGAAATAAAGATCAATTTAGTTGTCGCGCAAGATAGCACGGGGAATTTCACCGCGATAAGCGATGCATTGAAAACCGTGCCCGACCGAAGTCTTAATCGGTTCGTCATATACGTCAAGAAAGGGACTTACTACGAAAACGTGCGAGTCGAGAAGTCCCAGTGGAACGTTATGATGATCGGCGAGGGAATGGAGCAAACCGTGGTTTCGGGCAACTTGAGCTATGCCGGTGGAACAAAGACGTTTATGACCGCTACGTTCGGTACGCATACTCTAAACTCTTAACCGAGATTTTTTTTTTCGACATTCTTTTTTTTTTTTTCCCAAAATGATAGATAATATTATAAATCAAAATGCACAAATGTGCAAATACACAGCCCTAGCTGAATGGAACAGCCAACATCTGAAAAAGTGGGAGGACAGTTCAGATGACCGCCTAGAATCCCGATACTAGCACATTTCTTCACCTTTCCTAATTCATTTCTCCAACTTTTTTTCCCTCAGCTGTCTTCGGCAGAGGATTCGTGGCCCGACAAATGGCCTTCCGAAACACGGCACCGGCCTCACAAGCTGTGGCCTTACTCTCGACCTCTGACAAATCGGTCTTCTTCCAATGCCTCGTCGAGAGCAAACAAGACACACTCTACGTGCACTCCAAACGACAATTCTACCGCGAATGCACCATAATCGGGACAATGGACTTCATATTCGGAAACTCGGCTACCGTCATCCAAACGAGCCTCATACTCCTCAAGAACCCTTCCCCCGGACGAACAAACGTAATAACGGCCCAAGGAAAATCCGACCCGAACGAAAACACGGGCTTTTCGGTGCACAACTGCACGATCCGAGCCGCCGGGGAAAAAGGTCTTGGTGGGGCCCACGCATTTTTGGGGAGGCCGTGGAGGGATTACTCGACGGTCGTTTTCATGCAGACGTATATAGACGGGTCGGTCGACTCGGAAGGATGGCTGGCATGGGATTCGACCCGGCCCGGCCCGAACACGGTTTTCTATGGAGAATATGGTAATTCGGGCCCGGGAGCGAATACGAGTGGGAGGGTTAAGTGGGCTGGGGTGAAGGTTGAGCTCGGCGAGAGTGAAGCGGAGAAGTTTACGGTTGGTGGGCTTATCGGGGGACAAGAATGGCTGCCGGAATCCGGTGTCCCTTTCGGGTTAGGCCTGCTTAAAGGAAAGAGTAATGAGAAGTGATTGATGAATGTGGAAAGTTACTGAAAAATATGTATTTGATGTGAATATGAGTAAATAAGTTGCTGTTATATAAGTAAAGCTTTTTTTATTTTTATTTTTTTGGATATTTTGAACAACACAATACTAAAAGTTCCAAAATTCATGTGGTCTTGCTGACAGGTCTTGAGATATGCAGAACAGAACATGTGTTTGATGTGAGCAAGTAAATAAGTTGCGGTTAATGTTATATAAGTACAGATTGAAGGCTACTTTTGCATTTTGTAACTAACAGACTTCATTTTTTATTTATATTTTTATTTTCCTTATTTTTTTTACTATTTTGAACAACACAACACAACACAAAAAAGATCCAAAATTTCTTGTGGTCTTGCTGGAAGGTTAAAGAGAAAGCTAGTAAAAACTGACGCTAGCTTTTTTTGCAAATTCTTGTAATTGGGCAAGACATGGGGGGCATTTTTTGCAAATAACCCAAACCTCTTCTTACATGATGCCAAAATGTCTGAACTGAAACACACAACTATAAAATCTCCCATCAATCATATTCAACATCACACATTTTATGAAAGTTCTTTAATGGGTCCACACAATGTCACATTAACAAGTTATTTACTTATCACTTACATCTATTTTAGTGCCCACATAGTTGTAGCTGTTGAACTAAAACCATCACACACACACACACACACAATCAACAACCTTACCTTCCAACTCCAACCACTACAAAAAATCCCCTTTTTTTAATTTCCCATCTCTTTATTACTAAGCCCAAGAAAACAAATTTATGGCCTCTTTAGAAGAAGACTTCACTTTTCCAGCGGCTGCCGGTGGCGGCGAGTCGCCGCCTCTGTGGCGGCCCACCGCAGCTTATGAAAGCCCGGCAGAGTTAAAACTAATTTCTTTTCAAGAATTTGAGAAGAGAAGAAGTAAAAGTGAGAAAATCGGCTACACTCCAGAAGATGAAGAGGAGAAAATGGATGTGTTGTGGGAGGATTTGAACGACGAGTGCTCGAGAAGTTGTGGCGATTGCTCTTCGCCGGGGACAGGGGTGGCAATGAGCTGTGCAAAGCCGTTGAGGCTGTCGAGAGGCAACCGGCAAATGTTTTCCGGCAAGAAACCGATCATTTTGGTGCTCATCAAAGTTGTGAAGAAGGTTTTGCTGCTCAAGCAGAATTCTCACAGGATCAAGAAGCAAGCATGGTGATGTTGAAGTTACTGTAGTTTGTTATGAAATGGAGTTTGGGTTGTTTTCTTGAGGTTTTTGCTGTTGTTTGGTTGTTGAGAACAGGAAAGAAGAATATGAAATGAAAAAGGAAAAAAAAAATTGTTTTAGTNTTCATCTAAGTGTAATGATGTGGTATGTGTACATTCTAATCAATGAGTGATACTTGAACAAAACAGCAATGTAACTGTATATGAAACGAGCTGTTCATGAGCTGGGTTCGTTAAGGCTCGAAAATAGAGATTTTTATTTAATTTTTTATAAGTCGGCTTGTTAATATTGATAAACGAGTTGAGCGCGAGCTCCTTTAACGAGCCAAGTTGATAGACGCTCGAGTATTAGGTTCTCGAGCTCTGCTCGGCTCGTTTAGAGCTCTAGTTATGGAGACAAGATCTGATATTCAGTTGGTTAAAATTATGATATTGGAAAATTTTCATTTTATATTTCTTCTTTCAATTTATACAATTATTTTTGTGAAATGACAATTTGAATATTCTTTGGATGTTGGTTGAGTGGTTGATTCAAGTAGTGATTGAATTTGTTTTTATTCTGACTGCACATATGGATGCTATCCATCTAAATAAATCTATCACAAGTCAACTGATTGAATTGAACAAAGTTTAATCAAGGCCATCAACCTGTACTCTGCACTAGTGATGATTATTGAGTTGTTCACCTTTGCAAATCATTAATTATTGGAAGTCATTAATTATGGTGGTTGGCTTTACTATAAGATAATCTTTCCCTTTCATCTAATTTTGCCCAAAAAGCACAGTACAATTATCAATTTAGCACAAAAAATTAGAAACCTTATTATTTTTAACCCCAAGGGACAACAAAACTAGCAAACCTCACCAGGTGATATTATCAAAATGAATATTCATACAAAGATATCAGGTGCTTCTTTTATCATTATACATTCCAATCTATATAACTAAAAGAATTGAATTGAGGATCTACAATCACAGTCTGTGCTGCTTTTGTTCTATCTTTAAGCAAATTTTTGGGGGAACCAGCAAAAAGAGTTGGCCTCAGCTTGCTCGTATTATGTCGAGCAAAAGCAACGTGAGCTTTTTTACCATTCCTCATAGCAAGTTGTAAGTTTACATGGCTGTGCTTCGAAGATGCACGATCTTTTCCCCATAATCCATATTACTTTAAAAGAACAAATTTACCGGTTTTCTCAGCAAAGCTCAACATCATGAAAAAACTACTCCGTTGTTTGTTGCGGTATACTCCTCTTCTCCTCCGACCTGTGATGGTACAATTTAGCAATTTTTCGCCTCTCACAATCCTTAAAAAAATAAAAAAATAAAAAAAAAAAGNTAAAAATAAATACTATATGTTAAACAATTGAATTCCAGCAAATAAAATGACACTACAACTACTAGAAGACTTACCGGCTTCTCAATAGTTAAACATATACCCATAAATATGGGGTAATTCGAAAATTATTATTATCAAAACATCAACAGTCTTTACAAATTTGAAAGATAGTTTGGTTTTAATGTAATTAGATGAACCTTAAGGTATCGTCTGTAATTTTACACACCGTAACATACCTTGAACATATTCAGATAAAAGGGTTTGTCGGGATTCTTCCTTCTCAGCTTGTGATATGTATAGGCAAAGCTCAGCTGGTCACGAGGCGTAAACCGCTCGACTTCATTAAACCAAAGGCAAGAAAACAAATTCGACATTGGCGTATGAGCCCTGACAATGAAAGACCCTTCAGGTACATCTGGCAAAAAGTACCCAAAAAATAAATTAAAAATTCAAAAAACCCACAAAATCACACGTAGCCCAAAAAAATGTGCCAGAACAAATATAATAAGGAAAGATGAGAGTTGAATAATGTTAATACTGCTGGGTAGAAGCTTGTTAGGATCTGATGCATTAAATCTTCTCATCCCATCTGCTTGATAGAATGCAAATTGCTCGTCTATAACACTATGGTTGTACTTGTTGAGCTTCTTGTTCTGGGCAACCTCTTCCCATAAACAGTGGCGATCATAGTGATTTGAAATAGCATATTCGTAACCTTTTCTCCACAGGAAATATTCCAAGATAAGCATTGGATCGAGCTGGAGACGCAGTTTGCTGTCCAACCAAATCGAGTACCTGAAATAGCATACAGACAGATGTTCTCAATTAGGATCATAAAATATTTTGCGGAGAGTGTTTTCAGTAAAAAGCGAGATAAGCAATTATTTCTGCGCAGAACTTATCCTGGCAAGAAATTAGGTTTAAACAATTCAAGTTTTGATGCTAATGCTAAATTGTATGTGTGTGTGTGTGTGTAAGTTGGACCAACTCCAAGTAATTCAAGAAGAAAAACAAAAAGAAAAATCTCAATCACTATGCATCCATAATGATTTGGTTGTTGTATCTCAAAACTCAATGCAATGCAATTAAGTGGCCCCAGAGTTCTTTGCTAATTTAATTCATATCTAACTAGTAACTAACACCGCGTGCCATATACTAATGCCAAAAGGTAATAAGTTAAAGAAATACTACTTTGGAAAGGCAACGTGTGGCCTATTCCAACGTGATTATTTTACAGGTTGACTGTACATCAAAGAAAGCATCTTTTAGACAGCAAAATTCCTCAAACTGGTCATCAGTCTCAACTCTCAAGTAGGTGTTTACTCATCAACAACGTGTGACATACTAGTTTAGAGAGTGCCATATCAACCATCACTCTAAAATTGTGTCCATCAAACGTAAACATATTAAACAATTTTTGCAAGTTCGGTTCTAAATAGCTGGGCAACCACTAATCATAGAATATATCAGAATAACAGCTTTAGCTTGTTCATCATTTTGTAACCCAGGTTAAAATTATTAATATGACAATGCCAGAGTTCATCTCATCTCCAATACAACTTGATCGCAGCACGAATTTAATAATAGAATAACCTAAAAAAAAAGAGCTAAAGACAGTGAGGAGAGATAGCCATACAATCTATTATAAAATAAAACTAAATTTTTTCAGCTGTGCTTTATATACCTGGCTGAAGGGAAAAGTCGATGTGGCAAAAACTTTGGTACCTTCCCTACTCTCCGCATATCCGTATAAGGAAGATTCTTGACCACTACGATCTTCCACAACCCAACAAATCCCATCATATCAGGCATTTGGCCTTCTGATGATAGAGTCTGTAAAGTTACTTCATCCACAAACATAACAAAGCATACGTTTTTCTTTGATTGTCGAGATACCTATGTTTCCAAAAAAAGTGAGATCAGTCAAGTAAAAATGTGCAACTCATGTTCATTTCTTACATTAATCGCTAAAATGGGAAAAAAAAAATGTAAAAAAACTTACTGTCTTGCCTATTGGCGATCTCAAGCGATCAGAATTACCAAAGATGCAAGACATAACAGCAATGTGGCAACTGCTAATGTACTTTGCATCATCTTCTGCTAAGTCAAACCCTGTACTTTGTGACCCTGTAGGGCCTTTCACAAAGCCACAGTTAATTTTCTGATCACGAGCAATGAAAGATTCTTCCCGTTCTCCTAAACTTTGATGTCCAGCAAATTTTGGTTCCCATTTCTCATCTTCAATGGGCTTCTCTTCCCTCTCTGCATATTGTAAGGAAAATCTTGCAAATTTTCGACTTTCTAGGGGTTCCACGAGTAGTGAACTTGCGTTCAGAATTTTCATTCCACAAGAACCTGAAATCGTTTGGTGATGGGGAAGTTAACATTTTCTTATTAAAATGCCATTCATCAATTAAGAAATCATGCTATGTATATACTCGAAAATGAAATGTTGCCCAGGCATATCAACAATCCCTTACACTAAGCAATGTGTGCATCTGAAGAAGTAAAAACTTACAACAGCTATCAGTTCTGCAATTATAGACTATAAAAATTGCTATAACTTATGATTTATGCCAGTTCTTGATTAAAGGGGCCAATAAGCAGAGGCAACAATCAAACATAGCCTCCAAATTCATTGCCTGTAGTACTTAGTTCGATGTGAGAAATCTGGAACTTCGTATATAACCCTCGGAAAAGAATTTAATTCATAGTCAAGTTAGTCAGCAAATACCTCATTAATAGTTTTTGTGAAACCAAAAACTGAGGAATGAATTGAAAAACATGCTGACAAGAAAATCCTCCACATACCACAAAAAATAAAAAAAGATTATTACCAGAGAATTTTCGACGCTTAGGCTTCTTTTTCGAACCCGAGCGCTTTTCAGGAATCTGCCTCCGAACAGGCTGACTTTCTGCACCACCCGCATGCCCAGAGATTGCATCCCCTTTATCAACCTTCTCATCGATGTTTTGTTCAATTTTCCTATCATAATCCACACGCGAAGCCCCCCCAGAGCTGATAACACGGATTTTGGCAGCACTTGATCGGTCAGTCTCATCATGCATATCCTCACCTTCTTCCATCTGATCATCCTGGAAATCAATACCATCATCATAATCATCAGCATCGTCCAGTATGCTGTGATCCCTCCCATCAGCATCATCAGATTGCCGGTTTGAAAAGCCATGAGTGTCCGTGGACCCACCAACAGTCTTTAGAGAGGCCTCGTATTCAGCCTCGTACATTTTCAATTCATTGCGACCAGCCTCATTGTACAAGGAACTCCCTTTGTGATCAGAAACTTGATGAGATTGGTTATTGTAAGGTTTTTTATCTCTGTTTTTCAACAAAGTCTGAATCTTATCCACTGAGCCACCACGAGCTAGTTCGAGGTCCTCTTCGGTATAATCCTCATCCCTTCTTCTATCATCCTTATCCCAGTACCTTGAGTCTCGACCATGAGCGACTGATCCACGGCCAAATTTGAGTTCTTTGGGTTTCTGTATTTGTGTCACGTCCATAAGAAAATCAGTTTCGTTGCCTGTGTCATCATCCTGAGCTTGATGTCTGTGAATTTCCACTCCTAACACACACAATCATAAAATAAAAATAAAAATAAAAATAAATGAGTTGGGCAAAAAGCTCTAGCACTTGTTCTGGACAGCAGATTTGAACTTTGAAGTAGAACTTTCCGCATCTAAGTTCTAAGTAAAAACAACTATTCCATAAAACACCGGAGATTGAGGACAATCCAAGCAGCAAAACATAAAATGTCAATTGTCAACAAGGCTTAGAAATCAGGATCCACAACGAATAACAAATATCACAACAGAACAACTCATATTGGAGTATCTGCAAGCTTAGATTAACTATTAAACCTTATGTAGTTAATGTTCCATAAATCCATAATGGAAACTTTACAAGATCGATTTCCTCATATACATTCCACTTAAACAAATGCAGTAGCTTCTCAACAGAAAATAAATAAATAAAAAAAAAAATGTGGTAGCTCTAATGCAACCAAATGTGCTCATAAGTTGTTCTGCATACTAGGCGACTCAACAAATCGCCCAATCCTCACGTATACTAAAGCATTGATCAGTCAATCAGATTCCAAATTGAAACTGAAGTACTGCCACATAAACCTAATCCCCCAAAATTTCAAAAATTACAGCGAGCGATTTAATCCATACAAATGTTATCCCACTGCCATCAGCCACCCCACACGAAAGATTCTGACTAAAGTCCAGGCCCGGCTACTATTGCAGGGATTAGCAGTTATTGATCATCAAATTTCCCACTAAGTACTGCTCAAATACAAATGAAAGGGGTAAAATAGAAAGAAAACCACGAAGCTTTACACAGTACACCAATGGTCTCACTCTACGGCGCAAGTCCCAGAATTCACCTTTGCTTGGCAGCGAGAGAAAGAAGAAAGCGTAGATCGACAGGATGAGAGAGAGCGTCAAGACGCTGAAACAGATGGAGATCTTGTAAGCCGACGGGGCCTTCGATCGCCGGTGGTGCAGGTGCCTCGCGCCGCCGCGGACTCCAACCGACACGTGATCCGGCACGACGCCGTTTCGGGACCCGTTGATGCCGCCGCCGGATTGCCTGAACTGAGCCATTCGCACATTATCGGCCGTATATACACACTGCTCCGTGTACGTATAGCCTTCTCCCAAAAAAGAAGGGATTTTCTCAGTTATACGAAGTAAGAGTGGCTGTGAAGGGACAAACTGGGCAATTCGCCGGGGTTCGTGCAGGCAATCGGGGATTATCGCCGGAGGAAGTTCGCCGGGAGTTTTTCCGCTTGTGGGGAAGAAAAGGCTAAAAAAATGGGGATTGGGGAGTGGGTTTTTATCTAATTAAATTGTTCTATTATAATGATTATTTAGGTACTACTTTTGAGTCAATTATATAATTTAATTAACCTTTGACATTTAGGTAATTTATTTATTAAATTATTATTATTACTATTATTGACAAAATTCAAAATTTCAGTTTTTTATAAATAATTTGTAATCTCATCAATGTCAATATAGCAGAGTTGTTAAATGAAACGAAATGTTCGTGAAATCGTTTAATTAAGGAGCAGACAAAAATTAACTTGTTTAGGCTCAAGAATTGGGATTTATATCATTTTAGTTTTTTTCTATTAACTTGATTCGTTAAGGCTCAATTTCAATTCATTCATAGATTAGTGTCGATCTCGAACCTTTTTTTTTCACCCATTTCGGTAAATGAGATTAGTTTGACTCGACTAAATAAAGACTCGAGACCGAACTCAAGTACATAAGATCGAACCAATCTTACACGGCTCGACTAGTGCAAATGCAGGAATAACTATTTTATTTTTAGTCACAATTCTAGAAACAATATTTGTATTTAAGTAGTACTAACTATGTTGAGTAGAGTCTTTGGTTTTGACTAATTCAGGTATAATGGTGGATTGTGTTAGACTACTTTGCATTCAGATTTCAATCAGAATTAGTTAAAAAGGATTAGCTTTAGATTTCATTAATCACTCTAGAAGCATTACAGTTATGAGATGACAAAAATAATGTTATTTTATAGTTTCAGTACATTTTCTAATATATACACAAGCAGTTGTCATAATATAATATTTTTATCAAAGTAATCTTTTGGTTAAGCATTTGTTGGTAATCCTATCAAAATAGGTGTTTTTTTATAAGTGATAGGGTTAAAAAATGTTTTCTATTAAAGAGGACACATAGCAATATGGTTGTTGGTCAAGCGGATCGCCAATCAAACATGGTTCAAGCCATTCAACTAGTTGAACAATTGAATCTATGTTCGATTAACTGTTGACTATTTCCATAATTGAACCCCCATTCGATTTACACCAGTTGAATGATGAAGTCACATTCGACTCGTTATGGCCAAACAACAAGTTGTGCTCTAGATCCTTTAGCGACTCATAGCCATTTAAATTTATCAATGTCGTCCTCTTGCATTGCGCTAAATGCAAATCCGAACTATTATGGCTCGACTTTTCATGCCACAACTAGATTTGCACATCTTAGGTTTTTATATCGTTGTTGTTATATTATGTATCTTGGGAATGTGTTTGTGCGCATTAATGACGAGGAAGAAAGAAAAAGAGGATGGTGAAGTAAGTGAATATTCGATCCTACTCTTAGAGACGGTGCAGTCAGCCCCTAAACATTGTTGATTACACACATCGGTACGTGTGTTTTGCACCTGCGATCGTGTAAATCAACAACTCCTAAAATTTGATTGCTTTTACATTCTAAAATGTGGGTGTCCTATAAACCAATTGGGTGGGTAAAGATAACAAATTTGAAGCTATTACACTTGTCCCACAAACTTACTAAGACAAATATTTGTTTTTTTTTTTTCACTCTAAAAATAGATTATACATTATTTATTTACTACGTTTTTAAAATACTTCTTTTTTATTTATATGATCATAATTGAGTTATATGATCGTACAATATGATCGCAATATGATCACATCTATCATCGGACTATATAATTGCACCATGATCGAATAATATAATCGCATAGTAAAATTACACCACATGATAATATAATTGCACAATTAAATCACACCACATGATATCACTATATGACGGCATTATCGATTTCATTACGTGATCACGTCATTTAAGGTTTAAAATACTACCGATCCCGTTACGTGATCAGTGATCACATCATTTAAGATGTAATATATAAGTTTGAATTGATCATATACAAAAGAAAATAGTATAAAATAACTATTTTCACAATATTGACAATATCAAGCCCAAACTAGGCCTAGTTATGCTTATATATTGGTATTGGATTTGTCTTGGACCATTTAGTGCAAATACACTCTAATCATGTCTAAAATCTAAACGGACCTAACCCATTAGAACTGCAATGAGCCCACTTGGGACACAAACCCGACTCACATGGATCCCCCAACAGGCTAATTCGACAACCAGATATATCTATATATATTGAAAAAGAGAGGTCAATAAATTATTTGTGGAAAGTTGTAAAAAATTGATCAAAATCTTTTTTGACTTCCCTTTTTTGGAAACCAGTTCAAAAACTGAAAATCATTTGGTTTTCATCAACTTTTAAAAATCCGATTGGTTTTTATTTACTTTTAAAAATCCAAAATCTGTTAGTTTTCAATTGACATTTATTCTGCCTTTATTTTATTTTTTATTTTTTTTTAATCTAACAAACTTCCATATTATACGCAATTCATAAATTTGTTCAGAAGTCTGTTAACGCATTTTTTATTATGAGCAAAATTTTTGTTTGAAAAAAATAAAAAATATGTTGTTTGAAAATTGAAATTACACTTATTCAAGAGTTTCCAATTCTCTCTCAAAATCAGTTCACGTGTTTTTTATTATGGGCGAAATTTTTGTTTGGAAAGATATCATGCATTTGAAAATTGTAATTCACACTTATCCGATAGCTCTCTTTCAAAATCAAATCACATTGGCCAAATTAATTTTGTTTGGAAAGAAATCGTGCATATATTATTTGAAAATTGAAATTCACACTTATCCGATCCCAATTTCCATTCAAAATCGTTTGGTTTGAATTCAAAAAATCACGTTTACAATTTTTTTTTCAAAAACATTTGGAATGAGATAAATATTCATTATATGATTTGTATGAAAAAAATATTTATTGTGATAAAAATCAATTTGAAATTCTGATACCATATTTAAAAACCGTTCAATTTGAATTTGTGATTGCATAATTTACGTGAAGATAAATGTGCATTTCAATCCATATTTATCATCAACAAAAAATCTTAAAAAGGCACGGGTATTACAGCCTTATCAAAATCAATTTAATATCTTATCAAAATCAATCCTTCTTTATCGTTAACAATTTCGGCAATAATATCTTAACAAAATCTTTCCATATTTTACGTGATGTCAATTCATTTAGGCCTGTGTATAAAAGGGTGTTCATTGATAGCATTTTTTATCACCTCCTTCACAACGTGCAGAGAAAATAATACAGAGAAGTTTCAATATACACATCTATATACATATAATAAGAATTACTATTTACCATAAATAGTAACTAGAAATTTTAGGACAACATTAATTGCTTATTATTTTTGGATTTTTTTTTCTTTTTTTTTTAAACATTAATCCTTATCATCATTTAACTTAGGCGGCCTAAAAAAGTAGAATTTAATTTGAAAAATTCAAATCAAATCGTATCCTAAAAATTTGTATTTTTGTTAAATCCCTCATAATACAATCCCATATCAATACCATTTTTGAATTTGTTTTCTTTAAACATATAACAGAAACAGTATCTACGTACACAATTTATGTCTTCCCAAATTTAAGTAATTTGTTGGTCCTCAAATTAGTGAAGATTCCTTGCATGAAGGATTTATACAATTTTGAAAAAACTGGGAACTTGGTAGAAACCCATTACATACGATATTGGTTTTGAAATTTAAATTTACAAATTTCTTCCATATACATACACAACTATTCACTTCCTAAAATTAATTAATTTGTTGAATCAAATACGATATTGTGGTCCGCCAAAGTCAGTAGAGATATTTTGCATGAAGACTTTTTACAATTTAAAAATATTAGGACTCTTGGTATAAACATTTTGGATAGCCTTTTTTCACAAAATAAAATGGATTAGGAATTTCAAATCAATTCAAATTCATCTCTCATTACAAGTTAAAATTTTCTAAATTTTATTTGAAGAATAAAATTTATGGTTTCAAACTCGAGATAATGAGTTTATAAATAGATAAATATTTTTTTTTATTTTCTAAAATATTTATTAAAAAATTTATAATGACAATAAATTTTATGATAAAATAATAAATTAAGTATTATACCAGAATATGTAAAACTATTATTTTTTATATTAAAGAATAAATATATATACTAAAATCAAATTTATATTAGTATCAACGTTTTAGCGAGAGAATATATTAATTAATTTACATACTAGAGCTAATAATTAATTTACATACTAGAGCTAATAGGTTGAGATTTAACGTTATAACTAAAAAAATAACGATGATCAAAAGGTGTATAGAATAGATGATCTAATTCTATTTTTTTAAACCTAATGGACAGGTCATCTGGAAACTCAGATCCGTACATCGCACGGGTTACGTACTAGTTTTTCCATAAATCAAAGAGGGAAAAAAATCCAATCTTTAATCGAAACTATAATCGCATCCATGGGCGGCCACTCGAGAAAATCGCGGAGCCGGAAAAGCTCGCCGGAACCCTCAACCTCGGGCTCAGCCGACTCATCTTCTCCCTCGTCCGACGCCGCTTCATCATCCGACAGCCAGCTCGATTCGTCGTCGAAGGTCCGAAAACGACGCCGTAACAGGGACCGTGATCGGGAGGATAGCAAACGGAGAAATAAGAAGTCGCGAAGAGATAACGAAAGGAGCAAGAAGACGAGGAGAAAGCACAGCAGAAGAGACCGAGAGAGACAGAAAAGGAAGGAGAGGAAGAAGGGGAGATACGATTCGGATGATGGGAGCGGGTCGGGGTCGGGCTCGGACTCGGAGCGGGAGAGCCCGGAGGACGTGGTTAAGTTTGTGCTGAAGGAGTTTCCTGCTGTTGCTGGGGATTTGGAGCAGGTATTTTTTGCTTTGAGCAATTTTGAGAATGTTATCTGAAAATCATGAAATTTTGGTGTTTGTAGTTTTGTTAATCTAGTTTTGGTTTTGGATGCCTGAGCTAATCACAGTTGTTTGAGAGCTAAACGTGGGTTTTTACGAAATTTCCACGCTTTGAACTTGAGAACTTGTGAGGTTGAAATTCATTATAATCCTAATGGAGTTTTGTGTTTAGCATTTTTAAGAATTTTGTTAAACACAACCACCTCTGTTGTGTCATGAAGTGTCCATATTGATGTTTATAGCAGCTCTACTAGTGCTGAAAATGTGT